GGCACATGCCCAAGTTTTGGGCTCAATTCCCAGTAGTGGGTATGCAGAAGGCAGCCTATCTATGTTTGTCTCTCATCGATGTTTCTATTTATCCCTCTCCCTTCATCTCCATCTAAGAATTCAATAAAAACATTTTTTAAAAAGTATTCATCACCTTGTTAAATATCTATGTAGAAAGATCCCTGTGTTTTGATGATAGAGGTTCCCCCACAATTTTTGTTAATTAAAATATTTTAAATTATAAACCCAGAAGTTATGACTATATAAAGAACACCATGGTCATGAAATATATGGTTCTAGAAAATGAATGCTCATCTATAGTCTGCATATTCTGAACAAATAGGGTGAACCAAAAAAATGTATACACATTTTAACAGCTGATAGCTCACTTTTGTAAATGAAATGTATATTAATAAACACTGCCTTTATAATTATTCAAAGTGTGTGTATACATTTTTTGGGGACACCCTATATATATTGTGGAACCTTGGTTCTTGAACTTAATTTGTTCCGGAAGACTGTTGGAGAAGTGGTTTGTTTGAAAACCGAATCATTTTTCCCCATTAGAAATAATGTAAATTGAATTAATCCATTCCAAACCCCCAAATGATTCCCTGTTTTAACCTTTCTTATATACATGTCTAATGTACTGTTTAATCTATAAACAAACACTTCTTATCTTAAATTTATCGAACCACCCCTACTAGCCTTAAACAAATACCGTTCATTCCAGGGGTGTAACATCTTTATTTTTTCACATATTGCCTCCAAAATGCTGTTACTGGCTAACTGCTTTTCCCCTTTCTACAAATCAGTGGTTTTTCTGCCTTTGCCTATGATTGTTGTTTTGTGAGCACTTTCATACCCTTATCAACATCAGCACACTTGATAGCCTTTTTATGTTTTAAAATTGTGCTAATTGTACATTTCACCAGCAACAAAAGAAAAAACATGAACATATTCATAGCACAATTTCCTGTGGTCTTAACACAAGGTTTAGGAGTAAACTGACTCATTCTCTCCTTTGTTTGTGCCCTGAGAGACGCTTTTTGTCATGTATCAGAATGAAAGGGTTATCAGGTTTCGAACTGAAGTGAACAACTTGGTCAAGAACTGAGTTGTTTGCGGTGGGAGATATTCCAGAGCTGAGGTTTGACTGAATTAAAATTTCAAAATATAGTTAACAAGTGGTTTATGAAAGAAACACAGTGATTTGAGATAAGGTTTAAGCCTTATTCACAGGTAACAGTTAAAATTAGTACTAGTCAGATTTTAGATCCCCCATATCTCAGTAAAGTCCTTAACCCTTTGTGGTCCAATTTTACTTTTGGAATTCAAACAGTCTGGTCCAAATTAATTGATAGGATTGAATGTTGAAGTTATCTTTCTCACTAGACCTCAGCTTGACATTGGACCTGCTCCTAGTGCCTGGTCTGTCGAGTCAGCCTCCACATTGGACCAAAAGGGGTTAAAATCTTTATCCAGCAACTTCTTAGGAATTTGGGAACTTCAATTTGCATATTAGACACCAGATAATGCTATAGAGAGACAGGTATAGCAAAACATTAATTTGGGTCTCACTCCTTAAGATTCTTGGTGACCTAAAAAATGTAAATAGGAGAAACCAAGATGGTGGCATAGATAAACACCTAAAATTGCTGCCTCGCACAACCACTTCAAAAATACAACTAAAAGCCGGAACCGGTATGGCTCAGTGGATAGAGCGTCGGCCTGCGGACTCAAAGGTCCCAGGTTCGATTCCAGTCAAGGGCATGTACCTGGGTGGCGGGCACATCCCCAGTAGGAGATGTGCAGGAGGCAGCTGATCGATGTTTCTAACTCTCTCTCTCCCTTCCTCGCTGT